AAGCGCATTGGTCGAAGTTTGAACCAGTGCGTCACTACAGACCATTTGGTACTCTACTCTTTTTCGAAAGCCACAAGTGTGCTTCTAAAAGAACCACTATGGTAACACCATAGTGGTTCGTATACTGGGTTTCCGTGCACAAAGTCGGATGTCGCTCTATTATTCACCTGGTAACTAAATGACAAGTTTATGGGCGCCAGTATGACCTATGCATCGCGGCGCCCCAAAGCCTTAATTAACAACAACAGCGCCATAGGAAAATTCAAAGTCATAGATGACTCTTCGCTGTATCCGCGGGATAAAATCATCATATTGCATACATTTTTACTTAAAGGGAATGTCCTTCATTGAATTTTGCAGTATGCACAGGTATATGAACATGCTCACTTATTCCTGATCTTCTTAAGAGTGGAAACAACGGTTCCGGACAACACAATTTCCTTTCTGTTAAGTGAATATGATCCTTACCATGTCGTGTTTGACTACGTCATTGTGCCTTGCATAAACATTGAATGAGAGCCGATTGGCAGCCGTTATATCTGGTGATCGTGCTCACGAACGCCACATATGAACGACTCGACAATTACATTTGTCTTGGCCTTGTCGTCGCAGTCTATAGCAGGGGAGGATTTTTGACGTTATTGTGGCGTCATGAATACCTAGTGGTCTTGAGATCGCTCCCCGAAAAATACACACCTCGTCTTGGCGATGTATCCCAGGAACTAGAGTGGTTAGGTCTCACGAGGGCAGGGCTGTTAGCTGCACTGAGAGGTCTTCAAGATGGCCATCTCAGTTCGAAATACCATACAGATGTGGAACACTCCCTTTAACAGTGTTTTAGGCTTTCGTCACATTCATTACACATTTTGACAAATTAGTTTGATGCAAGCATTACCGAACACAAACGTAGGAAAAGCAATTTTAGTGAATTTTGTTCATAGTGGTGTGCAGCGAGTCCGGTGAGGTTTCCCCGCAGGAACGGCTGCTTCAAATCGAAATTATCAGATGTCCAGAAGGGTTCGAGAAAAACTGATATTACCAAACAAATCGGATGGGTCCGATCTGACAGTAAGTGAGAAGAACAAAAAGGTGGCACATTCCCTTTAACTCTTCAACCTGCCTTTTTACGTTAGTTGCCAGTCTCCCCTTGTCAGCTCGCATAAATGACGTCACTCTGAGACGCATGCTTGGCGAAGCTGCAGGAAAGCGGCGGGCTGTGCCTGTCAGCTCGTATTGTCTCCTGGTCTCAAAGGTGTGAGGAGGTTGCGTGATGAACTCTATCGGCGTTCGCGACATTTAAAAGGTCATGTGAGGTTATGGTCCATCGCTTGCAAGTCAGATATTAGTTTAAGTCAGGTTATGCACGCTACCATTATGTCACTAACCAAAATGGTCCATATTTGGTATTAGTGACGTAGTGGTCATTCAAGGTGGAGTTTACTTGGGGTCAAGGCTGAATTTTTTTTCGGAAGTTACAAGATTGGGCCTTGTGCGGCGTATGGAGGTGGTCGCATATATGCATGAGCTAATATAACCATGCACACGAGATTATTAGCTCATGTGTCACACACGGGCTAATCGCTATGCCACTGTTTTCCAAGAGCACCGAAGGTCACGGAATAGCTTTGGATAATCTCGCATTACTCGCTGGATTAAATGGTTGCATGCCTCGATTTGCACTATCTTCTTTGCGGAGGTGTGGTAAGCTGCATTATCATGCAACTATGTGTTTCTCTTCGTTTGATTCTGCCCAGTGGTCATCCGTGAGAGACAATGCAAAATGATGGTTATGAATTACCTCTGGGGATATTGTCTCGTTTTTTCTTTACTTCTGTTTAAGCTCATCCAAAGTGGAGCCGACGTAGAGGTTGTGCTGATACCCCTCCCCCTCCCTCACTGCACCGCCGAAGGCAGCTTTACCACCTTGTACGGACAGGATACCAGGATGTAACTAATGCCAACAGAATGTCATGTGGATGGCTTTTGAGCCCTTATCCACGTTCGCGGCGGCTATTTCTTAGTTATCATATCCAATGAGTTGTCTTTTTTCCAAAGCACTTCAGTGCGGTGTCGGTACTAAGGTTGTGCATTTTGTCACACATCCGTGCATATTGTGACGTTTGAAGTGCGGTTTTCCTTTCAGCTCATATGCAGCTGCATTTGCATATGAGCTGTGCGATTAAATGCGTCTGCGATGCCAGCCTGCGTTTGCGCGCCAGACCGTCCGGCCGTGTCGCTGGCTGTGTCCTGGCCGTCAAACCGCTGTCGCCGGCGGTGTCCTGGCCGGCAGTCCACTGTCGCGGGTTGTGTCCTGATCCACTGTCGGCTGTGTTGGGGCAGGAAGTTCACTGTCGCCGGCTGTATATCCTGACCGGTAGTCCACTGTCGCGGGTGGTATCCTGACCGGTAGTCCACTGTCGCCGGCTGTGTCCTGGCCAGTAGTCCAATGTCCCGGCGGTATCCCGGCCGGTAGTCCACTGTCGCGGATTGTATCCTGGCCGGTAGTCCACTCTCGCCGGCTGTATCCTAGCCGGTAGTCCACTGTCGCCGGTTGTGTCATGGCTGGTAGTCCAGTGTGGCCGGCTATGTCCTGGCCGGTGGTCTGTCATCGCTGGCTGAGTGCTGGCCGGTAGGAGTCGCTTGTTGGCTGAAGCGCTCCATTCTGCGCCGTCCGGCTCGATGGAGCTGGCTGCGGCCGGCGCGTGTGTGGCGCCGGGCGGGCGGCGGCGGCGGCCGGCCCTCAGCCGGCTGACAGGTGCCTGAGCGTGGCCACGCCCGCCACTCTGCAGCTCGCCGATGGCGGCGGCGGCAGCTCGCCCACACGCCGCCGGCCGGAGCCGCGGCCGACTGCAGACAATGGCGCGCCGAGACCTGGAGCTGGCTCGGCGCGATCTGGTGCTGAGCTGGACAGCTCCTGCCGGCACAGCGGCCCCCTAGCCGGGAACAATGTGCATGCACAACAGCGTGGCCCAGGCCTGCCGTTTCTGAGCCTGCGTGCCAGTCAACTGAGGACAAGTAAAAATCGCTGGTCTTTCGGCGAGTATTGCTGAGATATTGGCGGATTTGACGGATAACGTCCAAATGCATTAATTGGTTAATACGATCAGCACTGACGAACCTACCGGCAGCCAGCATTTCAAAAGTAATAATAAAAACAGCATACAGCCAGCTAGGCGTCCAAATTATTGCCATGCCTTTACACCCGATTGTGCCAATGGCCACGCTCTGAAACAATTCTGAATATGTGTAACCAGCTCAGACGGCTTCAAATGACAAATTGACGTAAATATCTGCTGTCCGGGCACTACATGCTCCCTCGCCATCATACCCCCTTCGCTTTTGACTTTCACGTATCATCTTCGGTGCTTCATCGATAACGCTTCCGTCTCATGCATGTATGAATGGGAAACAAGGTGGGTGCAACTGCAACGGAATCGACAACCTGCAGTTCTCAGATGATGAGGGTCGTGACCTCTGGCGTCAGGCGTGAGCACTCTTCATAGCAAGACGGATTGGATGCTTTCGTAGGCATGTACCTATGGGGGGATGTTTCGAGGGACAGTTGTGATAAATGTTTCAAAAGGCAACTGTGGTATGCTTTTGAAGAGCAATTCTGTGAGAGAGCGTGGCCTGAGGCTTGCGATGTACTTCTAGTATGGATTAATCAGCATACGTTTGCCGACCAAAAGCTGTGCATTGCTGCCTTCTGTTTAATCATTCGTGGTGGATGGTACCAGTGGTGATGTCCTACGGTGGCGGCATCAGCGGGCTTTTCACGAGGACGTAGTTGCCTGTTTGAGACGATTTTTCAGAAATTTAAAGTGGCAGCCCCGGTGCTGGTGCTGTTTTTAGCAGGGCACCACCGGCGACGGCGGCTTGGCGTCGTCTAGATTCCGTGCGCGGTTCGGGCAACCCACGTGCCGCCATATTCCCAGCGGCGGGGACGGTGCTGTCGGATATGTCACCGAATGTTGCCCCCCCCCCCCCACCCCCCCCCCCGAGCCCGAGAGACGCAGCGCACCAGCGGCCGCGTCCGCCCTCACCGTCGCACACCGGGCCCGTTGGCGGGCGCGCCGTTTTTGCGCGGCACGCAATACGCGTGACGTAATGTCGTGCCGGCTGTCGGGGGCGCCTCAGTGGGGCCGGCGGTCCGAGCATGTGGCGTGGCCGGCTGTGTTGACCGGGCGTGCTGTCACGGTAGAGCACAGCGCGCCGTGGCCGACCATCGGCATCGACCACCGGCCGGCCCGCGTCGCCTGCTTCAGCCAGCACGCCCAATAAACTAGGCGACGCTACTGCAGCAGCGGCATAAGCAAGCGTTTGGGTCCTATATCGAGCTGTCTAGCTGGTGATGCCACATGTGCGTGGCATTGCTGGCCGCGTCTGTACTGCCATCTGTGGGTGACATCAATCGTCGCGTCTGTACTGCCATCTGTGGGTGAAATTGCGACCGCGTCTGTACTGCCATCTGTGTGTGACATTGCGACCGCGTCTGTGCTGCCGCCTGTATGTTACCAAGTGCCGCTGTTTCCATTGCGGTGGTGCTGCTGCCATTAGTGTTTGACTTGATCTTTCGCGCTCCTGTGGCGAACCAGATTCAATCTGCTGATGGTGCCATCTGTTTGTGACCTGACACAACAGACTCGTCGGTGAATCGGTCTTCCGTTCCACAGTGGACAGTACAGCCATCTACGTCAAGACGGACGACAGCGACGAGCCGAAGAAGGTCGGCAGCTACGAGAACCAGGGCAGCTTCTGCGAGCTGGCACTGATGTACAACATGCCGCGGGCGGGCCACCATCACGGTGGGTTGGGTCGGCTCAGGCGGCGACGGGCCCGCGCGCTCCGCGGAGAGCCCGGCCCGCCGTCTGCACGGAAGCGGCATCGGCCATCACGTGCTTGAGCAAGGGCGAGGCTTTCACGCTGATGAGCGGCGCTGAACTTTACAGTGGCGCCGCCCGCCGCGAGGAGCGAGGTCGCGCCCACGGCACGTCTGGCGCTGTCCGCCGGCGGGCCGCCGTCGAGCCTGGCCGGCGCTGCGACCCGAACCACCGACGCGGCCGACCGCTGGTTGCAGTGGAATCGGATAGAGTTGTGTGTGAGCGGGTCCTCAACATTCTTGGATTTGTGGGAAGCTGACAAAAAGTCGTGCTGATGCCTAGTGCAATCATATTAGCTCTTTGTTATGTCCCCGACACGTGTGGCTAGATTCACTTCCGGTAGCTCCTCAACTGCCAAAGTTCTGCCGAACGAGGTCCGCACGCGTGTGCTGCGCTGCCGGCCGCTGAGGCGCGGCGCCGGTTCCGACCGTCGCCGACCGGGCCAGGTCATCGATCGGCCGACTCCCGGGCTGGGGCCGGCCGGCAGGCAGGCGGGCCGGGTCCGAGCGCAGCGATGAGGCACCTGTCGACCGCCGCGCCGGTGGGCGCGGTCCGAGCTGGCCCCACCTGGCTTACCTCGGGCTGGCACACCGCTGTCGGCCGGCACTGGTCTGACCTGGCTTACCTCAGCCTGACGCACTGCTGTCGGTCAGGACTGGTCTGACCTGGTTTACCCCAGGTTGACACACCGCTGTCGGTCGGCACTGGTCTGACCTGGCTTGCCCCAGGCTGACACACCGCCGTCCGAGCTGGCCTCACTTGGCTTACCTCAGGCTGACACACCGCCGTCCGAGCTGGCCTCACTTGGCTTACCTCAGGCTGACACACTGCGGTCAGTAAGGACTGGTTTGACCTGGTTTACCTGTGGCTAACACACTCGTCGGCCGGGGGCTGGCAACAGACCTGTGACCCGCCCCCGTTGGGTAAGCACCCCCGTGTGCTCGCTGTTACTGTCAAAAAGGCTCGTGTTTCCCCTTGTCAGTGAAGTGATGGCATCCCTTGACATCGCCTCCCACCTATTGCATGAGGACGCGGGCTGAGGGCGAGAGATAACGTTATCAATCGTTTTCGCTTGTTTAATTACTTCAGCTTGAAAATACGAGAGCTGATGTTTTCTGCCGATCCAGCCGCAACAACGTGTCTGTGACTGTCCGACCCCCGCCATGCGCCGTCCAGCTGCCCATCCGGCCTCATGCCGTGTGGGAGTCACGTCTGCCGGCTCCCGTGTCCCCGCTGTGACCCCAGGATCTGTGACTCTGCCAGCGGTCTGACTTTCTCTTTCTGACCTCAATTACATGCGTCCACTTTGTCACAGGGGTAATCGCATCCTTGATGAACTCATTGCTAGCCGTGTCGTCGATTTGGCCCTGTTTTGCATCGCGACTTGGGTCATGTCTCGCGAGGCACAACACAACACATTGCTGTCAGCCTCTCTTCAGTTCACCGCTTTCCGTGCTGTTTGCGTTAGTGCTCTGAGATGGTGCGGCATACCGCTGCCCGTGTTCTCATCAGCTGTCCATGTGATCCAAATGTCCAACGCCGTCCGGAACGGCTCGCCGGTACGGTGTGGCGGCTCACCGGTACGGTGTGGTGGCTCGCCGGTACGGTGTGGCGGCTCGCCGGTGCGGGGTGGCGGCTCACCGGTACGGTGTGGCGGCTCGCCGGTGCGGGGTGGTGGCTCGCCGGTACGGTGTGGCGGCTCACCGGTACGGTGTGGTGGCTCGCCGGTACGGTGTGGCGGCTCGCCGGTGCGGGGTGGCGGCTCACCGGTACGGTGTGGCGGCTCGCCGGTACGGTGTGGCGGCTCACCGGTACGGTGTGGTGGCTCGCCGGTACGGGGTGGCGGCTCGCCGGTACGGGGTGGCGGCTCACCGGTACGGTGTGGCGGCTCGCCGGTACGGGGTGGTGGCTCGCCGGTACGGGGTGGCGGCTCACCGGTACGGTGTGGCGGCTCGCCGGTACGGGGTGGTGGCTCGCCGGTACGGGGTGGTGGCTCGCCGGTACGGGGTGGTGGCTCGCCGGTACGGGGTGGTGGCTCGCCGGTACGGGGTGGTGGCTCGCCGGTACGGTGTGGCGGCTCGCCGGTACGGGGTGGTGGCTCGCCGGTACGGGGTGGTGGCTCGCCGGCGGCCGGTGCTCTGTCGCCTGACGGCCGGCTGCTCGGCTAGGCCGTCAAAATCGTATTGTTTTCCTTTTTAGTCTTTCGTGCGCGGTATTGCAGAGGCGCCATATCGTGACGTAAACAGTGTCAAAGATGGCATGATTATCTTCTTTGGAGAACACGCGACACGTAGAGACCTCAGGAGCTGCTGGATCAGTTAAGCACAAGGTCCTAACCATACGTGTACGGGGAGACGCTCTCTTGGGTATCGCCCCTTAAGATCGACCGCCCTTGCTTATTCAGACAGCAAGAGATGTCCCTTGATCGTATTCCTCTCTGGCGCATGCAGATCTGGCCATTGAGGCTGATGATCAAGAGGGTTGAGAGGGTCTGGCCATTGAGGCTGATTAAGAGGGTTGAGAGGGTCTGGCCATTGAGCCTCATCAAGGGGTTGAGAGGGTCTGGCCATTGAGCCTGGTCAAGAGGGTTGAGAGGGTCTGGCCATTGAGCCTGGTCAAGAGGGTTGAAAGGGTCTGGCCATTGAGCCTGGTCAAGAGGGTTGAGAGGGTCTGGCCATTGAGCTTGATCAAGAGGGTTGAGAGGGTCTGGCCATTGAACCTGGTCAGATCACCCGATCTCAAAAGTAGGGCCAAAGACATGGCACTGTCTCCAAGTCGTGTCAGTAGATTTTGGCGTTTTTCAGAGGCCTGTGCGGGCTTCATTAATGGAGTACTGTTGTATATGTAGGGTGCTCTAGATCCACTCTAGCCATACCTACGTCGGGTGTGATATTGCCAATGGTCCGAGTTATTTGTCCCTCTTAGATCATGCTAGGTGAAGGATTCAGATATATTTTGGACTGTTCGTGAGCGTGTTTTACGGTCCAGTTTAGAATGAAGTGCATGTTGAATGCTCGCAAAAAATATATGTCAACACCTTGCAATGGTTTCTCCCATCATTTTCCACCATAATTGTGTGACCCAGTATGACCTGAACCTTGGAGTTAGTGAGCCCATTCAGTCTGCATGACCCATCAGGAAAATGTGATTTCAGATCATTAGGCATGGACATATGGAACAGAATGAAAGATGCAATCGGCTCCCAACGTTAGATTGTTTGACGTAACATTAATCCAGATTACCAATAACCAAGCGACTTAGATGAATAGGGCTTCCTTTGAATTACAACCAACTTGTAAAACTAGCCACGAGTAACGCTTAGAGGCTGAAGTCTCAACAGAGTGCGCATGAATATCAGACAACTTTGGCAACTTGATCAGAACAATTTAATCGCATGCCTATCTGTGACGCTGATGTGCCTTGACCTAGGGCGATAGGGTGTTGTATAATCCAGCCGTCCTGACGGGCATCAGAACGCAAACAGCCGTAGTCCCATCGCGACCACGAAACAGGGTCGGAAAGCAAGCATCCACTGGTGAACCATTGTGGCGATATTAATCTGATGTAAGGGAGGACCGGACGGCTGTTTTACAATGTCATAAGCGTTTGATGGAGGCTCATTATTGTTCCGGAACGCCAGCGCTATCCGTTGTCAGCGCCTTAATGCAAAGACAAGTGTGGCGCTAGACGACACGCTCAAAAGCGTGACAGGCTAATGACATCACATGGGTTTGTTTTAGTGGATTTATTTGAAAATGAGTTGAACAAATAACCATCGAACTTTAGAGTCACTTTACATCTTCATCAGTCTTCAGGTTTGCATCAACCATTATTGTATCATACAGGCATGTTCCGTCGTTTTGGGTGGGGAAGTAGTATCTCCCCCCCCCCGAATCATGCATAAAACTGGCGCGTTTGTGATGAGACTGTAAGGTGGTCGATTGGTAGAACTCTTCAGCATCTGACAACGCATGACCATCCACGTTTTGAAGGGGCGAGTTGTGGGCTGATGTCCGCCGGCCGGTGCCCTCGCTGGTCTGGCCACGAGGCAGCCTGGGCTGGTGACCGAGCGGCTGACCCCTGCCGGCAGGCGGACTCGGAGGGCTCGCTCTGGGCCATGGATCGACAGACGTTCCGGCGCATCGTGCTCAAGAACGCCTTTAAGAAGCGGAAGATGTACGAGCAGCTGCTGGAGTCGGTGCCCATGCTGAAGACGCTGGAGGTGGGTGATGGCGAAGGACGAGGCAGCCTCGCTGGCCTGGCCACCACGGCCAGATCCTGTGTTGGCCGCCATTGGCGGGAGCCAGCAATTGCCGCTGGGGTCTGTCAGAGCTTGTTTCATGGCGATCAGATGTCGTCGGAAGAGTTTGCAGGTGGTGCAGCACTTCAAGGGGCCCCAGCAGCTGCTGCTGCCGAGTCTTGTCGATTTATCACGTATCAGTTTCCTTCTCAGCATTACATTTGCATGATGCAAGGCGCGGTCTTTTGGTAACGTCGGGTGTAAATTCCGTCTGTACATGTCGTATTTAGTGGTGTAACTATTTACGCCTCTTTTTCGAAGCGGAGAAGCTGGTACTGGCGTAGGCATACAAATATGACGGTGCAGAGCGGGCATTTGGCCTACGTTCCATTCACCAACGCATTGTGAAGGATTGGTTGTGTGAACAACGGGTCAACAAACTGCAGGGCACATGCATGACCACGACTGCAGCCACGACTGCACCCACGGCTGCACTTACGCCATTGTGCCCCCAGCCGCCCATGGTCTGCCCCCAGAACGGCCTCAGTGTGCCAGTGGCGTTGTGACGTTGCGCTGGTGAGGGAGTACTGTCTCAGTCCCAGTCCGCTTGAAAGGCCGCAGGAATTCCAGTCATAAGACGTCCGTGATGTGCGTAAATGAACAGCTCTGAGATGCGCGAAATGCACACAAATGTGGGGCAATTCGCTGCTTGCATTGTGTTATTTGTATACTGACCGGCACTGATCTGGTACCATTGTTGAGCTCGTTTGGTCGAAGTTCAGGTACTTGAAGTATTGCCCGAATTGTCGCTTTGAGGATGAATGGTATCTGCGCGTGAATAGATATACCAAACATTTGCAAGGGTTAGAGCCCCTCTCCCTACCCCTCCCACATTCCTGGCTGGGTTTATGAACGCTGTCTAGCAGGAACTGATATGAAATACTAACATTCCTTCATCCCATCGTTTTAAAATGATTCCACGCCCGCCTTTGCGTCATCTTCACTATTCCAGCATGCTTTTGAAGATCACTGGCTGGCGTTAGCCGTGCATTTTCTAATCTTTCGTCGACGGCATGCGTCATTATCATTGTCCTGCCGCTCTTGCGTTGTGCGCAAGAAAAGTTTTGTTAGCATCCAACCGTCGTGTCCAGGGTGTGTGCTGAGTTTCCCCTGTTGAACGATCGTCGTGTTACCAGCCGCCGCCGAGGCCGCGGCCGGAGGTGGCTGCGGGCGCACCTGTGGACGGCGTGCCGTCGCTCCGACCGAGGGCGGCGCGCGCGCAGGCACCGGCATTCCGTGCCGCCGTCTGGACGCGCCGGTCTGTTTTGCCCCCCGTACCCGTGGGACACCGCGCCGTGCTGACTGACGCGCCGCCGGCGGGCCGGGGCCGGCGCGGACGAGTGACGCCGCCGAGTAAGTGACGACTGACGCGTGGCCCGCCCCTTCCCCCCCCCCCTCCTCTCAGCCCGTCTTCGGGTCGGAGCCGGCGCGGACGAGAGACGACTGGCGACTGACGAATGACCCTCCCTTCCCCCTTCCCTCTAAGCCCGTCGGCGGGTCGGAGCCGACTGGCACTGACGAATGACCTTCCCTCTCCCCCTTACCCTCTAAGCCCGTCGGCGGGTCGAGCCGGCGCGGAAGAGTGACGACTGACGAGTGACCCTGGTCCCTCCCCCTCCCCTCCCAGCCAGTCTGGCGAGTCGGAGCCGCCGCAGACGAGAGCACGACTGACGACTGAACGAGTGACCCTCCCTCTCCCCCTTCCCTCTAAGCCGCGTCGGCGGGTCGGAGCCGGCGCGGACGAGTGATGACTGACGAGTGACTCCGGCCCCTCCTCCTCTCAGCCCTTCGGCGGGACGGGGCCAGCTCACTGGCGGGGGGCGCACGTGCTGCCAAAGAATCCACAAAATGTCGTTACCATAGCAAGCGTATCCAGTGCAGGAATATGATCGAGCTATAAACACTTTTGTACCAAAAGCTGGAGTTATGTAGCGCAGCGTACCCGGCGTGTTTAAGTAAAAACCAAGTTAGAAGCGTCATATTTTCTGTACATTCATCCTCAACGTAATTTAAGTCCACTCGCCCCTCATAAACCCAGTCCCGGAATGTGCGGGGAGAGCCGTTTGAAACGTATGGAAGCCCGGCCACATGCGCGCAAGTGCAAAAAAATCACAATGCAAGTATTTTGGTACAAACGCCAATCAGTGAGAACCACCCTTAAACATTTTTAAAGCCGTTATTTTCTTTGGGAGGGGGGGGGGGGTGCGGAAGGGGTTCTCGCATTCTACCACCATACACATTGGAGCACGCGCAGAGATGTTGACATGACCACGTACCTGTGTCCCCGCATAATTAGGCAGCCATCAGGTTTTAGAGGTTTGTTCGTCCCGTGTGTGTGCTTAGCTTGTGTGTAGTGTTGCCGTGTTGTATGGTCCAGTAAATTGGTTGGACAACGAAGATGAAGTGTTGCCTTAGGCTCAGTCGCTGATAGTCAGCGAAAGGAGGGTGGTCAGACCTTATAATGGTTATAAACGTTGCCGCCTGTGCATCAGTAAGTATTATTCCACGCACGTACTTATAAACGAGGCTGGGGTGCATTTGGGATTTTCATTGAGGAGAGGAGGGGAGATGGTCTGAGGGATCCCATTTTTACCACGTGACAGGGGCGCTGTCGTCCGGAGTGGTTCTAAAATGAAAACTAGTGATGGATTTTCTTAAGTTTGAAATGCAGGGGGAATGTGTGTGAATACTTGGAGAGATGGGGTTTCCGCACTGGCTTCAGATTTTTGACATAGAAAACGACGGTTATGCATTTTTGCAGGGAGCGAAGAATCTGCGTGAATCCACGGCTATACGTGTACGGGCAGTTGCAGTCAAATCTGAAGCACGGTTCCCCAGGCTAGTGTTTGGCAACAAATTGACGTATTTGTAGCAGTTTGAAAAGCTCATAGAGTGGTGCTTTAAGCATTTAAGCATTTTCAAAGTCGTCCCAAGATGGCGTGTGGTGTGGACCGCAGGGCAGTGCTTCCCCTGTACCGATCGCTGGTCCGATCCAAGCTATAATATGAATGCCAAGCTTTCGAGTCGGCCGGTATTCCAGCGAAACGCGTGCCTGACACATTGCACCATGATGGAATACGCATTGCTGCTGGGGCATTTGGACCCAGTCCGATCTCCAGTCCCTTGATGAGGCGAATGAACCGCCGCTGTCATTCCAACGCGAAATGCTCAGCGCACGGTATGCCGTAGATTGCACAGCTTTGGGCACTTCCGGCCTTTTGCTACATGTTTCGGCGACATTTAATCCAGTTGTTCGAAGGTGGTAACGTTAGCTAATCAGAGCCTATGTGTGTGGGTGTCAAGAGGAGTCTGCAAGAATGTAACATCAAAAGGAAGGACTTCTCTCGCGTGATAGGCTTACCATACCCTGGTCAAAAGATCGACAGCTGCTGAGGAGGTTCACTCTAAGGTTCTCCAGCGTATGTGCACCGACTACGGTACGTACTTTTGCATATAGACGAATGGCTCGAAGTCTGAGGCAGGCACAGAATACGCTCCGGTGTGTGATAGCTGGACGAAATGTTTTACATTGTCCCCCTAATGTTCAGCTTATACCACTGGACTTTTTGCAACTAAGGAGGCATTAGCTTCTGCGGAGGAGGAACGAGCGGAGCGGTTTCTTGTTTCGCCTAACTCCTTGAGCAGTATTCTAGCCATCCATTACTTAAAAACAAAAAGCGTTTTCGTTGACGAGATTATGCGACTTATTGCATCCCTCGAACAGATAGGGAAGCGTGCAGCCTTCGGTTGGGTGCCTGGAAACACCGACGTTACTGGGGAGGAGAGGGCGGACGGACCCTGCGCCCAAGGAGGGCCAGTCAGAACTCTCTCTCTCTCTCTCTCCTCTCTCTCTCTCTCTCTCTCTCTTCATCTTCATCTCTCGCCTCTCTCCTCTCTCTCTCTCTCTCTCTCTCTCTCCCTCTCTCTCTCCTCTCTCTCTCTCTCTCTCTCTTCTCTCTCCTCTCTCTCTCTCTCTTCTCTCTTCTCTCTCTTCTCTCTCTCTCTCTTCTCTCTCTCTCTCTCTTCTCTCTCTCTCTCTCTCTCTCTCTCTCTCTCTCTCTCTCTCTCTCTCTCTCCTCTCTCCTCTCTCTTTCTCTCTCTCTGTCTCGTCTCTGTCTCTCGTCTCTGTCTCTTCTCTGTCTCTGTTCTGTCTCTTCTCTGTCTCTCTGTCTCTGTCTCTCTCTGTCTCTGTCTCTCTCGTCTCTGCTCGTCTCTGTCTCTGTCTCTCTCTGTATCTCGCTCTCTCTCTCTGTCTCTCTGTCTATCTCTGTCTCTCGTCTCTCTGTCTCTGTCTCTCTCTCTCTCGTCTCTCTCTCTATCTGTCTCGTCTCTCTCTGTCTCTCTCTCTCTCTGCTCTCTGTCTCTTCTCTCTGTCTCTCTCTCTCTGTCTCTCTCTCTCTCGTCTCTGTCTTCTCTCTCTGTCTCTGTCTCCTCTGTCTCTCTCGTCTCTGTCCGTCTCTGTCTCTCGTCTCTCTCTGTCTCTGTCTCTGTTCTGTCTCTCTGTCTCGTCTTGTCTCTGTCTCTGTCTATCTGTCTGTCTCGGTCTCTGCTCTGTCTCTGTCTCTGTCTCTGTCTCGTCCTGTCTATCTTCTCTGGTCTCGCTCTGCTCTCTCGTCTCGTATCTGATGGTCTCTCTCTCGCTCTATTCTTCCTGTCTCTGTATTGTCCTTTTGTCTCTGTCTCTGTCTCTCTTGTCCTCGTCGTCTCTGCGTCTCTCTCTGTCTCGCTCTCTCTGTCTCTGTTCTGTCTTGTCTCTGTCTCTCTCTTCTCTGTCTCTTCTCTCGTTTGTTCTCTCTCTCTCTCTCTCTCTGTATTCTCTCTCTCTCTCTCATCTCTCTCTCTCTCTCTCTCTCTTCTCTCTCTCTCTCTTCCCGAACACGCCGTTCTTTTCTGACCTTCAGGATGCTGTCAGCTCGCTTTATTCATAGAACTGGCACAAAGGCACGGCATCGGAGGAGCCACTTGACAGCCATGGGTATGCGCGGATATGCGCCATTAGCCATGGTTAAGCAACCTTAGGGCTTATCAAGTCCAACCTAGACGAATGGCCAGCCTTCTCATCGCGACAGTAAAAAGAAGGAAGATTAGCCTGTGCCGGATCCCGCACAGCCTGGCACGGCACACGTGAAGACGATGAATTTTCTCTACTCAGCAGGACAAACACGGCATGTCCCTCCTCGCTGGGGTCGCGCGCTGTCCGTACGCTTCACATCCCCGTGGAGTGACCACACTGCGACGGAGCGCCTATGTCGCCACTTTGGTCGTCATGTTTAACGTAGATTGTCCATCATAGGCGAGGTTCCCCACAATCGACGTGAGAGCAGTTTTTCCATTTCTTAACGGCATTGACTTCACGATCATTCATTGGCCTTTACGGCACCTGACGCCGGACGACCCTGGTTGAAAGCATCCTAGCGTACTTGCTTTCCATTCTGCGTGTTGTCACCGTTCATTTTGCAGCTCGTGCTTTTAAGACACACTTCGGAAGCCTACAACAGCGACATTACATGATATAATGAGCACGACCTTACATGGTGAAGTAGGACATAGTTCTGCGCAGCCATAGTTTGGGCTCAGAATGACCGCGGCTGTTGGCGTGTCCTTACGTCCAAATACCGACAATGAAATGCGGAGGCTGTCCTTTGATGTTTTGGAATGTCTTGTTACCCGCCCTTTCGATTCTTGATATAAAACGACTCTACTCCATGGGGGGGGGGGGGGCTTCCGCGCCGGCCTCCCTCTGGCTCGCCCCCGACAGCGAAGGGCCCACCAGCGGCACAGGACCTCGAACAGCTGGCTGGCTGCGCCGCTGTGGATCCCATTCGCTGGATGTGTGTGTTCAGAGGTTCGTTTGATAGGTCAGCCCGCTCAGGGACTCGGGTCAACACGTCGGCTGTTTACAGAGTGGCCGGGACGGCCCCGATTGGTCTGTGCCGCCCCGCGCATCTGTGCTCTCCGGCGCGCCCAGCTTCGGTGTGTCGCCTGGTTCTGGAGTCCCCCCCCCCCCCCCCCCCCCCCCCGGCATATCCGTTCTCCAGCGCACCCAGCCTTGGTGTGCCGCCAGGCCCTGTAATCGCGCCACGGCGTCGGCAAAGCGACCAGCCGGCCTGTCAGGGGGATCAGTATCACCGCGCAGCCTCGGCGGCGTTTCGACTCGGACGTCCTCGTGTGCGCTGCTGATGAGAGTCGGTCGGCATACCGAACAGTGCCGTGCAATTACGGCCGGGCCCGTCGCTCTGCGACATGACGCCGGCCGGCGGCTGGCGCGGCTGCGCCGGGTCGGACGCCGCGCCTGCGGACGCACTCTCCGGGCCGCTGCAGCACGGCGGCGTGCACGCGGCAGTGGCACCGGCGCTCACAGTATCCGGCGGAATAGCGCAGTGGTGAGCGGCCTGCGGCTTCTCGCTGCTGGCGGCGGACCGGAGTGGCTGCGCCGCTAATGCCGCGGGCGGTTGCACGCGTCGTAAAGTGACCAAATCACCCCGGAGCCGGGCGGTCGGTGTGCAGCCAGCCGGCCGCGCCCCGGGCGGCCGCCGCTCGCCTGCTCTTTGCCGGCGCGGCGGTCGGTCCCGGCAGAGCGGGACCGACGCGGCGGCGCCTCGCCTGTTTAAACAGGGGGCCGGTGACGCGCGCGTGACGTCATCTATTGCCCGGCCGGTGACGGGGGCGCGGTCGGCAACACGGCCGGCTGCCGCCGTCGCTCGGCCGGCCGCACCTGTAGCCGTCAGCTGCATTATTGAGCAGGGCGCCGCCGCGCCGTACAGGCGGTGAGAGTCCGGCCGCCGACCGCTCTCGATTCCGCGGGGCGACTCCCGCCGCGAACGGCACTCGTGTGCTGTCGCCGACGGCCGACCTCAGAAGGGAGGCGCCCATTCACGGTGGCAGGGCAGAGGAGGCGGGCGCGCCTTCCGGAACGGCGGCAGGCAGCGGCCGGGGCCCCCCGGTACAGCATCGTACCCGTGTCTCTCGGCTGCAGTCTCATGTCGCCGCCGCGCCTGAGGCTACGGCTACCTTGTTTCTGTCGATGCCATCTGAGGCTCTGGCTGCCGTGCTTCTGCTGATTCCACCTGAGACTCTGGCTGCCGTGTTTCTTCTGCCAATACACAGACAGGTCAACACGACACTGGGTACCCTGCGGCCGTGTTGATGCCGGGACCGGTTTTAGTAACGGTCCGCCGCCGAATGTGTGCATAATGGAGATATGTGCATGTATACGTGCACCAGACATGTACATGTTTGTCGCTAACGGTCCTAGGGTGACATAGAGAAATGGGAGCCCTACCCGCAACGGCTTTGCGTGAGGTATTGTGATCGGAATATGTTGTACTAGCGCTGAGTTGCAGCCGATGACTTCGCCATTCACTCATTGTTCCTACGTTTGGTCTCTGGCAAGCAGTATGGACCGTTGTGGTACGATGGAGCCATGGGCGACGTCACTGAAGTCGAACCATCCTGGCCGCCAGAGAGGCAGCTGTTATTCTTCTCTTATTGCATGCCGAAATGTGCGAATGTGCTGAATCCGACTTCGGGATTGCACTCAAGGCGGGTTGACCCCTATCGTCGAATCTAAACTTTTGTCTTGAGTTTCTGCGATTGATCCTTCGTCAAGCTCTCTTGCCACGCAATGGGATGTATTGAATCCGGCGCTGCAGGAGACTTGCCGGGTCGGGCAGGCAGGCAGGTGCTGGCCTGTGAGCTCCGGCAGCGACTGGAGTCCTTGCTCGGGGACGGGCCACGGCCAGCCGGCACCTGGCCTCACCGCCCGCCGGCTCTCGTTGCAGTCGTACGAGCGGATGAACCTGGCCGACGCGCTGGTGCCGCGCACCTACAAGGACGGCGAGCTGATCATCGAGCAGGGCGACGACCGCCGACGGCATGTACTTCGTGGAGGAGGGCACGGTGCGCATCATGCGCGGCGAGCAGGGCCAGGACGAGGTGCAGGTGAGCCGCCGTCCCGCCGGCGCGGCCGCGCTGAGATAATACACAGCCGGGCTCTGTTTGTGCGGCGCCGCCAGCGGCGCCGCATTGTCACCCGGCGCGATGTTTACGGCCCGGCCGGGCCGCCCCTATGCTCGCGCGCGTGTGCCAATCGATGGGGAGGTGTGTGGCGCGGCGCGGAGGCGTTGTGCAGCGACGCTCACTGCAATGGCGGCCGCGGCGACTGCGGTCGGCACTGAGTGGCGCCAGGACACGACCGCCGGCGGGGGCTGCGGCGGGGCCGCCCCGGCCGGCTGCACGTGCCGGACGGCGGCTGAGAGTCGCGCACGCCGGCCGGCCGCCTCTGGCTCGGCGTCAGGGCCGGGTTGGGTGGGCGTGCGCGCGTGATTGTCTCTGGCGTCCGTCATGACCGGCCGCCGGCTGACTGTGTGCCCCGGCTGTGCGGCAGATCAACGCGATCGAGAAGGGCGGCTACCTGGGCGAGCTGGCGCTCATCACCAAGAACCCGCGCGCCGCCTCCGCATACGCCGTCGGCGACGTGCGGCTGGCCTTCCTGGACCGCGAGGCATTCGAGCGTCTGCTGGGCCCCTGCATGGACGTGATGAAGCGCGAGATGGAGAACTACGAGGAGGAGCTGCAGAAGATATTCGGCTCCAGCGTCAACATTTCGGACGTGCGATGAGCCGGAGGCCAGCGGACTGGCCGGCCCGGCCCGCTCTGCCATTCCAGTGTCTAGTCTCCGGCCGCGGCCGACCGACTGGAACGATCCGGACAGCGTCTGTAGGGTTATATGGCGCGGTGGCGGGCCCCGGCGGCCCCGGCCACGTCGGCCGGCCGTGTTCACTGTTGTAGAGTAGGTTCAGTGTGATGCCTTCGGGCGGGGTGTCCGGCGTCGGGTGGCCGCGGCCGCTGGCTGTCTCGTTCGCCTGCCGTCGGGTGAGTGCGTGCCGCCAGACTGCCTCCGCCGGCGCGGCGACATATTTTTGCACACGAATGTGCCAAAGGGCGGCGGTGGCGGCGGCAGCAGCAGCGACAGGGAAGCCGTAGTGCCGACACAGAGATCGATGGCAGCCGCCAACCGGCCGTGACGAGCGCGGCGCACCGCCGCCGACGAGCTTACCGAGGCCAACCGAGCACGGCCTGCTACACAGACTGAGACTTGAACCCAGCGCTGCCCGAGGCGCTCTCCGCCCGGCGGCGGTGCCGTGGACGCGGCCGGAGCGCCGTCCGGGCCGAGCTGGCGTGGCGGTCCCCGCCGGCCGCTCCCGGGCCACACCCACCACCCGTTCCGTGTACTTGAGTAACCCAGTTCTGTCTGCCGCTCCGTTCGTTGAGGGTGTTCGTTTGCGTTGCAGTCGGCCGTTGAGTGGCGGGCGCTGGCCGGTGGTCGGATCGATTCCCGGCAATCTATGCAGTGCGTTTCCGATGGCCCGGTGCCGCCCTCTCGGCATCACTAGTTATCGTTTGTGCCCGCTGGTAGCGCTGCGTGCACCTGTTGCCGCAGAGGCCGCCCAGACCTTCTCAAGCAGTTATTTGTGTAAACGAGTTTCAATAAAGTTACCAGTTTCAGATCTCGTAGTGTTGACCGAATGAGGTTGGCTGGTGCGGCAGTCGTGGCTGGCCTGCTTTCTGGCTGCCCACGTCACGCGGGGTGGTTCAGCACCCTTGACCGCTGTGATTGAGCCCAGCTTTCGGCGGTCACCTTGCGGCATTGCCATCACAGTCTCACTTCCTTGGATGCGTCTCTGCCCAGTTCTGTCGCACCGACAAGCCCCGCAGCACGGTAAGCGGGCCTCTCGTGTTAAACACGTCCGGTGTCGCCTCGCGACCATACCCACACAGGATTTGACTAGAAGCGATACCAGAGCCCGCGACGGGTTCTGTGTCGCCTCCCTGTAGCTGGAATGTTTATCATTGTTATCAATGTTTCGGGCTAATGAAGGCCGAGGGGACCAAATCCAGCTGCGAACCCTCTCCAGTGTCACATCGGAACGCACTGCAACCCCAGAAAATATGTAGCAATCCAATCGACTTGCTGGCGGGCTTTTGTTGGTGGCAGCCCGGAGACCTGCGTCCAGGAGGCCTCCCACGCTCACAAGACCCACGCTGCTCCACTGACACGTCACCCTTTTGCGTGGGATGAGAGTGCGCGCGCGGCCTGATTGGCATTTCCCTGCTCACCACTCAAGCGGTGCTGTTGAATTTGAGCGTGGATATTTTCCATTTTCGAACCATCGCCGCTAAACAGCTGCACTGCGGAGCGCGTGTTCCACCAAGGATGAAAAGTGGCTCGGCTCGTGGCGGTGCGCCGGCTGTGCGGGTGCTGCGGTGCGCCGCCGGCCGGGTCAGCAGCGCTGGCCGCCGCCGCGGCTGCCCGGACTGCGGGAGCGCTCTGGGCCTTGGGACTGGGTCGACACGTTCAGCCCCGTTTGGATGTCCTCTGCTCTCCGCAGAGAGGAGATGGCGTTCAAACGAGGCAGTCTCCGGACGACGGAGAGCCAATGCCTCTTTGTGTGGCGTGGGCAGCTGATATGACACTCAGACAGCGTTTAATGGACACTTTCGGGCTACACAGACGTCTATTGCTTGTTAGTTGCCGCAGTTGCCGCAGAGTGGCGCGTCGGGCGGCGTGGACAGGTGCGCGTCGGGCGGTGGCAGCGGCGCCACGGCACCAAGCCGGGCTCCAGCGGCGGTCCTGGCGCTGACCGAGGCGGACTGGCTGGTGACCTGCGGGACCTGTCCGGGAGGCCGTCCGGGGACTTGGCGGCGAGCCGGGCCTGTATCCAAGCGGCCGCTGCCATCCGCGGTCAACGGGTGCCACACGGCCCGCCGGCCATCTACCATACAGAGCAGCGCTGCTCATGTGCACAAGGTGGAAGCTATCAAAGCCGTACGTGACATACAGACGCCACCGTGCCCATGTTGCACCATGCCAACAACATATCGTCAGTTATCGTTACGGTCTAAAATATGGCCATATTCGACAGGGCGTGAAATCTCAGCACTGCGGATCACCAACCGCCAAGATCGGAATGAAATGACAGGCATACATCCGTGCGTATTTGATCATGCTTTACTGAACCACGCTGAACCACTTCGACAACTGACTTATTTTCCTTCGACATATAGGTCCAATAATCTATTTGCAAGTGACGACAAACCGTGATAGCACGATTTTTGTGAGGACTCCAACTCCAACTTCAAAGTTATTTGAATGCACGGCATGGTTGTTAACACTGGTATTGTGTCCGAAGGTTCGTGCCAGGTGCGTAGTGGCGTCAGAAAAAAATCGAGTCGATGTTGTCTTTGACCCAGCGGAATAATCCGTGGGGATCGCCTCTGAGTTATTTCATATTGGTATAGCTGACCAATATAAAATATATATAGCTATATATAGCTATTACATATAGCTATTTATATGACCTTTTTATATCTATATGACCAATATATAGCTATTTGTGACCATTCCAATAAATTCATGCAAAGTCTGCCACTTCTTGTGTGAAAAGCTTTAAACTGAGGTGAGGCTCTTGGTTGCACTGGACAGTGAATGAGTTATTCGGTGACGCATGCAATGAAAAAATGTGATAAGACATAAAGTCTAATGAGACATAGTCCTGCAAGAAAACACCCAAGCCTACAGCTGCTTTAAATGTGCACACTTAAAGTATGTGTAAATCTGGTCTCGTATCGCCAAGTGACGATACGACACAGATACTCGCTGGACGGATGCCCATGCAGGTCAAACCCGCTGCCAAAGCAGTTGTGACTTTTTACTGAGCGGCCGAAAGGTCACAGCACGACACTTTTGCGTAAAGCCCGAAGTAAACTGATAACCTCGTATTTGCTAAATGTATTGGTAGGAAGAAAGTCTCATGTTATTGAACGCAAAGATGAGGCTCAAACTCATGATGGAGAGAGCAATAAACAAACCAATTAAGAACATTTAAAAGTCCCACACTGTATGACGCGTAAATCGGAGCCAAGCACAGGGCAAAACAGGCTGCTCTGCTCTTGGTCAACATTTATGATATGCCATCAGACATGGCTATCCCTGTTATATCAATTGCGAAAGTAAGTGTCTTTCGGAAGGGATCCCATTGCCTGGAACATCGCGACCACTTCGATTTGTTTCTTTTTTACAAAGTCAACAGGTGTGGAGCACACGCAGCAGGTGTAGAGCATACGAGATTTTGTCGACAATTCCCGACATTTCTCTGAGCAAGGAAAGCCGCCAGGTCTAGAAGTGCCCGAACACCAGATCAACATTTATTACCGACGGTTATACGGCGTGTCACCAGGTCGCCAAGATCAACTAACGTAGCGGAAGCCATCTTAAACGAATGTTGCTGTTTCCATTGACCCTCGAAATGTCTACAGGTGTAGGGCATGATAGATTACATCGATAATGCTGGAGGTTTGGCGGGGCGCCGAGAACTTTGGCCGCTTTAAATCACCGGTTCCAACCCCTCTGTTTCTGATGTGCTGTAGCCTTCGGCGCTGCGAAGCCGGCCGGTGCAGCGGCGAGCGGTGGTTGTCGTGACACATCGACACGCGCCGTGCCTGGGAGCCGGAGCGAGATGTGCAGCATGCGGCTGTAGCAGCTGACGCCGACCTCCGAGCGGGCTCTCGCGGACGTGGGACTAGAGTGGAGTCGGTGACACCCTGGGACCGGCGGAGGCGAGTGGTGACTGCTCGAGCCCGGTGGGTGCCACTCTGGGATTGAGGAGACAGCAAGCCTCCGTTCTCGTCTGACCGACACCGCCTGATGACTGGGGGACGGTGAGGCGCTTTGTGCATCTGACCGACACCGCCTGATGACTGGGGGACGGTGAGGCGCTTTGTGCAACTGACCGGCACCGCCTGATGATTGAGGGGACGGTGAGGTGCTCTGTGCATCTGACCGGCACCGCCTGATGACTGGGGGTTGGTGAGGCGCTTTGTGCATCTGACCGACACCGCCTGATGACTGGGGGTTGGTGAGGCGCTTTGTGCATCTGACCGACACCGCCTGATGACTGGGGGTTGGTGAGGCGCTTTGTGCATCTGACCGACACCGCCTGATGACTGGGGGTTGATGAGGCGCTTTGTGCATCTGACCGACACCGCCTGATGACTGGGGGTTGGTGAGGCGCTTCGTGCATCTGACCGACACCGCCTGATGACTGACGGGACGGCGAGCCTCTGTCCCACTCGCCTCTGCCGGGTACTGCAGCTGCGCTCCATCCATACCGGAGGCCGAGTCAGGCCACCAGAGCGGACTGCAGGGACGGGGTGGAACTAGGCGAAGCCCTCCACTGACGGGGCTCAGAGCGGAGATGTTTCTCGCTCCGATGTTATTGAAATGACGCTCTGGACTGGGGATGCTGATTACGGCATTCAGCAACTGGAATATGGTATCTGTGTGGTAGGCTGTTTGGAATAAAAAAACGGATTTTCTTTTTTCTAGAGCTTCCGATACTTAATGAAATGGGAATCGAAATGGTGATCCACGGTTTGCCCATCAGCACAAACCACTTCAAAACTTCGCTTGACACCACAAGGTGAAATCCGTAGCCAACCATGTCACACACATCTGACAATCCTCTGGCAAGAACAAGCCATAAACAATGCTCGAATGAATTCCGCGTAGGGCGCTTCCGACATTAAAAGGCCTCTACGCTTCATCTGAAGAGCGATGAGTGGGTCTGCTGCGGGTGGTGTCTGGACGTCACGCATCAGTCGCGGCCGTCACGCCGACCGCGCCATCTGTGGCGCGACTGTGGCGCCACCTATCTAAGATTTGTGGACCCGGAGGCGGGCGTTCGCCTGAGTGGCTGTGGTGTCATGGTGGGCCCGACTGAGCCCCGAGCCCAGCATACTTCGGCCATGGTGTCATGGTGGGTCCTGCTGAGCCCCGGGCCCAGCATACTTCGGCCATGGTGTCATGGTGGGTCCTACTGAGCCCCGGGCCCAGCATAATACGGCCATGGTGTCTTGGTAGGCCCTACTGAGCCCCGAGCCCAGGATACTACAGCCATGATGTTATGGTGGACCCGACTGAGCCCCGAGCCCAGCATATTACGGCCATGGTGTCTTGGTAGGCCCTACTGAGCCCCGAGCCCAGCGTACTTCGGCCATGGTGTTATGGTGGGCCCGACTGAGCCCCGAGCCCCGCATACTACGGCCACGGTGTTATGGTGGGCCCGACTAGGCCCGGATCCGGTACATCACAGCCATGGTGTCGTGATGGACCCGACTAATCCCAGAGCCTAGCGTACTAAGGTCACTTAATCCATGTCAGCGGCCTCGCATAACGCGTGAAGACAATATCGTTTGGCGACAAGAAGATGTAAGAGCTGTGCGGCAAGCACGTCAACCTAAAGGGAGCAGTATTATGGCAGCTGGACGAGGTGCGCTGGACTCAGGAGAGTGACGCGAGAGTGAGAGCTGCTCGGTGTCATCAGTCCCCTGGCGGCCGATAACCACTTTATGATCCCCATGAAGATTACGGGGAAAATGAACGGCTGGGAAGGGATCTCTTGGGCAGAGGCAGCTGCTTTCTTCTAGCTGGAAGAGGTATTTTTCTGGC